TTTCCCCTGGGATAGCCCAACAATCAGCGCCCCGGACGCTGAATCGATAGATCTCAGTTCGATCTTTGGTCAGTGCCATCGTGTTGCCTACTTGGGCAAGACACTTTACTCTCACAGTTCCTCTCTCCAGGCAGGAGTGTGTTAAGCATTAGGGAACGTTTGTTATCTATCGCCGGGGCGGAGAAGCAAGGATTTTGGTTGTGTCACAATAACATTTACCTGATTCCCCCCCTAAGGCTCAGTAGTATTCTGACCCCCTCCCCCCTCTCATTGGCAGCTGAAAAAAGTTTTTCTCTCTTCATTTTTCAGGCGGGCGGTGTGTCGGCCTGTCTGTGTTTCGTGGATGACATCCCACAACTGATTAAGATGTACAGATTGCAACGGGCAGAGGAGATTGCTGCGGCTAATAATACCCAGTAGCCTCTCTACTGACCTTCATCTGCGGTAGCCTGGATCAGCAACAAAGTAGTTAGTTTACAAAATTTGTAGAGGAAGGCTTTGTTTGAAAGCGCGTCCTTAGCTTTGATTGATTTTGTTGGTTAGCTGCATAAAAAACGTTATAGAGAGCTACAATGCTGAAACTTAGTTCGTTTTGACTTGTCCTTTATTCATATTTCACATTTATCATGGTTAATCTTTTTTTTCTAGCTAGATTTTTTTAACTTAAGCATAACAAGCATGTATTTCAGGCTTTTCGAGTAAAACTGTGGCACCTATCACCCTAAAGAAGCGATGATCGTAAGAGACATACGATCGTGTGTAGTGTCACATAAAATACTCTGTCTTTTTTATATATCGTTTGTTGAACCCTTGTTGAAATAAAACTTAGAGAATAAATTTTGATAAAAAGTCTTACTGAACTGTCGATGGTTACCTTTTTTAGCTTTGATCAGCAAAACCTCATCATGGTAAATAACGATGCTACAAACCAATCGCCACACAATGTTATCGATTTCGTTTCATTTTAGTTTTCTCCCTTTTATCCTTCTTTAATGGTTTAGCAATGGAAGAAAAAAGCTATTATGGTTTTTATGTATTATGAGGCGACTAGGAGTACCCTCCCCAGCCCCCCCC